TGTGGTCCTGGGTTCTTAGCGGAGCAGAGGGAAGCTGCCTCTGTAAGGGTATGTTTGGGAAAACCCTGGAGGGAGGGATGTTTGTTTGGTGGGGGGGGTTGTTTGGTGGTCCAGCTTGGAGAAGGAAACTACTTTGAGAAACAAAGCAAACACAGAATCTAGGCCAACCCCTAGTTTTACCCCTGCAACCCCTACCACTGGGTGTGGTAGGGCCCAGTTTGGTGAGAACAGGAGGTCAAAGCTTCATAAATGCCGGGGGGGGGGGGGGCGCCACACCTAATGCTCAGCTGCTGCTCCTCAGAAGTCACTTCCCAGCTTGGATAAAGCATCTAAGTAATGTCTGGGGGGTGGGGACGCAGCAAAAATGTTTATTCTTCAAAACTCCCCTCTGCACGGCTAGGAAGAGGCTGGTTCGGGAGGGAGCCCCAGTCATGACTCACAGCTAATCCCTGGCAAATCTGTCACCATGGAAACTGCCAATCATCCATGCTTTTCATAGCTTAACCGAACATCTGCCAGGGGAAAACAAGTGGTGCGAATCATTCTCCCTGCCTCCGTGTTTATTTTGCCCCTCAACCCGAAAAAACAGAGCCAGGGGAAGGCAGCCTGGCCCGCTTCTGCTTCCTAATTACCTGTATGATCTCCATCAGGTCCTTCCCAATCTTTTCTGTGCCTCTCCCCCCCAGGTTGGTTTTAAAAAAACAAAAAACAAAAACAAAAACAAAACCTCACTTCAGAGGTTCTCAGCCAGTCCTGCTGGTGAGGAGGAGGAGGCTCGGAGGCTTGGGAAAGCCTGGGCCCTCAGATGGAGTGATGAAACCTGTGTGGCAGACTCTCTACTGTTCCAATTTTACGTGTGGACTGTTATAAAATGATACTTTCATAAAGCACAGAAAATAAATCTGTGTGTACGTGTTGCGGATGGACAGACGGTCCTGTGTGTGGGTGTGGGCAAGCATGAGCCACCGCCCGTAAGGCAGGCAGGCAGAGAACAACCTTCCAACCCCAGTCCTCGCCTCTCCACCTTGTTTGAGATAAGGCCTTGGCATAACATGGCCCGGCAGGCTTGGGCCTCTTCTCTGTCCACTTTCATGTCCCCACGGGCACAGTGGGTCTGTAGAGGTTTGTGCTCCCATGTCTGGCTTTCATGTGGGTTTCAGTCATCAGGGCCCAGGTCACCAGGCTTGCTCAGCAAGCACTTTAACCCAGAGAACCATCTCCTCAGCCCCAGAACATATATTTCAACCAATATTCTTAGGTCGCTGCCACAAAAGAAATACAGACACCCTCCCTGGAGTAGAATTTGCAGTGAGATCATCAAGAAGAAGGAGTGCTTTAAAAAAACAGGAAGTCGAGGGGCCGGAGGGGATAGCTCAGTGGTACAGTACGTGTCTAGCATGGAGCAGGCCATGGGTTCCATGCTTAATAACACATGCGCACGCACACATGATCACAAGGTGAGAAGTCAAGTGGCTGGGCCTAGCAACTGAATTCAGCTCAGCTCTGCCTGCCAGGTGGCATCGCCAAGCTGTAGGCCGCTGCTGATTCTCACCTGGGAAGGAGGCTCACTACCCCCCCATCCCCACTCAGGCCAGGCACTGTTCCCCTCTCTTACTCACCAACTGTGAGAACATGAGGCCCACACTCCTAGGACAACCTCCCGGGGTCCCAAAGACAATGAGAGCAACAGCACAGCTAGCCACGGGAAGGCTTGCCGCCTGCCCAGGCACAATTGCTAACCTGGCCTTTCTGGTCCAGGGTCTTCACCTGGTGGGAACTCCCTTCCAGGCCCAGGACACCCAGCCGGAGCCCCTTGACTGTGTGTTCATTGATGCTCAGGAGGGGTGGGGCAGGAGAGGCTAGTAAGCAATTTCAGATGTTAATTCTTATCCATTTTTTTTCTCTTCTCCCTCATTCTTTCTCTGTCCACTCAAGCGGCAGCTGACTTAGATCTGATGGATGGCTTTGGGGGAGACGTGCAGTAGAATTTGCCTGACTGTTGCTCCGGCTTGTTTCTCCACAACCCGGGTACTTATGACGTGGGAAAAAATCGGGCAGATGGCTGGTGATGGCATGGGGGGACCAGAACAGGAATTACATAATTTGTGGAGCACAATCAAGTAAAACTATAGGGGTCCCGTGTTCAAAATCAGTAAAAAAAATAATAAATTAGCAAAAGCAAAGCATTACTCTAGGGGAGGGCGGTCATACCCAAAAGCAGACGGCCCTGGGCAATACTCCCCATCCCATTCCCACAGAAGATTAGCCTTAGGGTTAGGAGGAGGGAAAGAGAGGCCCACAAGTTCTGGAACAGTGAGGGCCTGGGACCCTCTCCCTGCAGTGCTCATAGGGACCAGAGGACCCAGGGAAGGAGGGTCTGGGCAATGTTTAGACCCTGGCTGCAGAGTACCCAAGCTCAGCAGGTTTCCAGTCTCCCAATGCAGCTTAAATGCAGAATAAAGGTGAAGGCCCTGCAGACAGGACGTGGGAGGGCCTGGCTCCGTACAAGCTGCACAGTGGCAAGATCGCCTAACGTGCCTTGGCACTGGGTGAAAGCCCAAAAAAGCTGGAACTGGTGGAAGCATGGCACCACCAGGGAACGGCATCCTGAAGGACTGCCGTTAGCCTGGACTCATCCCTGTGGGGGGTAGAATCTTAAGAGTCAGAGACCGGCTCATTATTTTATAAAAATGAAAGAGATGCGTTGTTCGGTCAATTCAATCTGCGGACGAGGATCCTGCTACCCAGCCCTAGTTTCGGGCTCATTTCCAAGGTTGGGGAAGGGGCAGTGGTGGTCAGTGATTAACTGAGGGGTGTGGCTCAGAACAGGGTGGTCAGACGGTAGAGGTGAAGGGAAGTGAAGAGACTCCAGCGAGCGCCATTTGGAAGGTAACCTGGTCAGGACTTGGAGAATTCTAGGATGAAGGTGGGAGGGGTCAGGAGTAGGTCCCTGTTGTTGGAGGCCTTCCCTGAGAACAGTTGGAAACAGACAGAAGGGGATGGCTCTGAACTCGCAGAGTCTGAAGTATCCCCGATGTTACTCAGCCACTGAAGAAATGATGGGATGTGCTGGGAGAAGCCTGGGCTGGCAGAATAGGTGTGGGAGTTGTGGGTGACCACTAAATAAGGAGCCTGGGAGAGATTAAGAAGAAATCGGGGCTGGGGAGACCTCAGCTTGTTAAGGGTTTGCTTTGCGGGCATGAGGACCTGAATTGGATCTCTAGAATCCATGCGATAAAGCCTGGTATGGCGGCACGTGCTCGGAAACCCGGCGCCGGGGAGCCAGAGCCAAGCGGGTCGCTGGAGCTCACTGGCCATCCAGCCCAGCCAACTTGGCAAAAGACCTGGTCTCAGAAAACAAGGTGGCTGGAATCTAAGGAATGACACCTGAGCTCGTCTTCCACGTGCACACCAGCACCCCCTTCCCCCACTCTCACACTAAGAGGAAAAAAAGAGTAGCTAGCAGGCAGGTGAGAGCGGAGGGAGCGAGGGGGGCTGGCACTGGTGGTGTGTGACGGGCATTCAGAAGGAAGAGGAAGCGGTGGCCACCCCAAGGTCAACTAAACCAGGAAATCAGAAATGCTCACGGCCTAGCAGGGAGGTCAGGAGGAAGTCACCGATGACCCCGGAAGGATCCAGTTCTTTGGGTTGATGCACGGAGTTCCGAAAGGAGAGTGCGGGAGGTAGGAAACGCAGAGAGGGAGTCACCTCACCTTGAGGGCCTTTACGGGGGGGGGGGGGGGGGAGGGGGTGGGTTGGGGCGTGATGGTTAAAGTGGCGTGTATCTTTCATTTTAGCAGCGTTATACAAGCCTAACTCTGATTCCGCATGTTTTCCATGAAGCAGCCTGAAGCTGCCAGCATAACCCAGTAGCACATCGTTCATCCTGAACTGTCCTCCCATCCCTCAGTAGCCCTCCCCTCTAACCCCCTCACCATCATCCCCAGGTATCTGCCTGCTGTCTGCAAGCTAAAGCTTGCTTCTACTAGAGTGTAATATAAATGGAGTTTAGGTAGTTTGATCTCTCTCTTTAACTTTTTGCATCTTTTTTTGTCTGACTTGTTCAGCATGATTATTTTGAGGCTCATGTATATTTGCTGCATATATCAATAGTTCCTTCTTTTATACTGTTTTTCCCTGTTGTGTGGCTGAACCACAATTTATCTGCTCACTTGTTGATGGGCATTTGAGCTACTTCCATTTGGGGACTATTCAAATTAAGCTGCTCTTAATATTTTATGTATTTTCTTTTTCTTTTTAATTTGTGTGTGTGTGTATTGGTGTGTTGAGTGTAGTGCCTACAGATGTCAGAAGAGGGCGCCAGATCCCCTGGAATTGGGGTTACAGGCAGTTGTGAGCCATGTCAGAGCCGGGAACCAAATTCTCATCTTTTGCAGGAACAATAGGTGCTCTTGACCATGGAGCCATCTCTCCAGGTCTTCACACAGGCATATGTTTCCAGGTAATTAGAGGTGGGATAGCTGGGTATATGGAAGTTTTAAGAAACTGTCAAACTCTTCTAAAGTGGTGTGACCATTTTACATTCCCCTCAGTAGTACGGGTGAGTTCGAATTTCTCCACATCCCTGCCAGCACTTGTGCAGAGGTCTCTTTCGTGTTAGACATTCCCAGTAGCCTCTCCTCTTCCCACCCTTTGCCCACTTGGGGAAAGGCTGATGAGCAAGGACACAGCAGAGGACAGGAGACAGTTCACTCAAGAGCAGCCACATAGATATTTTCTGGTGAGTCTTCTGTGCCTTGGAGACAGCCCTGTCCTGAGCATTTCCCACGGGCCACCTCTCACATGTTAGCTTCTTGCCTTCTCGGCCAGAGACCAACATACGAGGCAAGAGTTCAACAGTCTCCTTCCAAAATTATGAGCAAGTAAACTCATTGTTAAAACAGCAGATATTTAGTCAGAGCTCACGCCATCGCCAGAGTCAGCTGCAGCTCCCAAGAGCACATGCAGGCTGGCTGTGATGCTGAACCCACAGTACCTACCTGTAGCTGCGGGGAAGAACACACCGAACACAGTGAAGAAAGACTCCCCGGGGCTATACTCTGGCAGAGTGTTGTTCTGCAGCAGTTCTGGGGAGTATCCAATGAAGCCATGTTCTGAAATGACACGAAGGAGTGCAAACAGAGCAGGGTGCCTGGAGGGGGGGGGGGCAGTCTTGTTTACAGCATGGTTTCTTTCTTTCTGAGGCAGTGGCACACTCTGTAGCCAGAACTTACTGAGCTGGCTTCACACTGACTGTGATTTTCTTGCCTCAGCCTCCCGAGTTGCTGGCGTTATGGGCATAAGTCACCATGTGCAGGTATGTAATATTGAACACTCAAAGGCAGCGTGCGTGTGCGTGTGTGTGTGCGTGTGTGTGTGTGTGTGTGTGTGTGTGTGTGTGCGCGCGCGCACGCGCCAGAGAGAAAGAGAGAGACTTGGAGCCTGACTTTTGTGTATTTGTACCTATGGCTATACAGGAATGAAGTGACAGGGAGCACAGTTAGGTCAGGGGAAGGAAGATTTTTCATCTTTGCTTCATAGATTTCAGAATGGCTACAGGGTGTTTTCAGTGAGGATATATTTATGTGACTCCATGGGTCCCTGGGAGCTAAAGAATGAACTCCAAACTCCTTAGGTTGAACATCAGCTCTCCCCACAACCTGGCAACTGTCTGCCATGTCTCCTTCACCCCCACCCCAGAGCACCACAAATGCCCATCCTACGCCTTTGCTGGGGTCATGTTCCCTGCCCTACCACCTGTCTCTCTGAGCATCAATACTGTGCTCACTCTTTCTGTCTTTTCTTCTTTCTCCCCTCCCTCTATCCTCCCCACCCACAAACACACTGGCATTCGAGCCTAGGGCCCTGTACATGCTAATCAGTCTAGCCCACATCTCCATTCCTGGCTTTCATTTTGATTTGGAGACAGGGTCTCTCTAAGTTGCTCAGGCTGGCCCTGATCCCATTCTGTAGCCCAGGCTGGTCTGGAACTTTCAGTCCTCCAGTCTCAACCACTCAAGTAGCTGGCCCCTCGTGCCTGCACCACCAGGCCTGGCACACCCTCGTTCTGTAGGCTCCGACAGGAGCTTCCTGGATCAGGACTGAGTCTCCTCCTCATTGCTCTCAGTATAAAGACTAGCCGTTTAAGAAAGCTTGAGAGATGGCTCAGCAGTTAAGAGCAGTGGCCACGCTCCCAAGGGACCTGAGTTCAATTCCCAGCACCCACATGGCAGCTCACAACTGTCTGTAACTCCAGTCCCAGCGGATCCAACGTCCTCGTCTGGCCTCCATGGGTCCCACATGAATGTGGTCCATAGATACCCATTCAGGCAAAACACCTATACACATGAAAAACAAATTATTTAAAAAAAAAAAAAAAAAAAAAAAAAGACTATCCATGGAGGTCAAATGAGGGCACAGGATCGCCTGGAGCTGGAGTTATAGACAGCTGAAATCTGCCTGGTGTGGGTGCTGGGAACCAAACTCAGGTCCTCTGCGGCAGCAGGGGCACTCTTAATTCCCCATGCCATCTCTCCAGCCCCTCACTCTTAGGTCTTGAGGTGAGAAATCCACTCCGGCACGCCTCTGCTCTACCTGGCACACAATAGGTAGGCTGGGAATAGAACCCACGGGTAAAATGAACCTTCCTTTAGCTCTCTCAGCTGGTGGGTGCGTCTCCTTCCCAGTTTGTACATTGACCTTAACCAAGCCTCCCAAGGGCCTTCCGTCCATTTTGCCTCTTTGTTGAAGGTGAGCAGCGTGGAGGGATGTCCTGGCAGGCCATGGAATTCTGAGACACAAGTAAAATGTTCCTGGCTCAGGGACATTGACGACATTCAGCCTGGCCTTTCAGTCTCGTCCCCTAGAACTAGCTAACCTGTGTCTGTGAGCAGCAGCCACACCTCCCTGAACAGCATGGTGCGCAGAGCTTGGGGACAGAGCCCACGGCAGGCCTTACCCTCCCCCCTCCATGTAGCTTAGAGTTTCCCTCCACAAAGGGAGCTCTCTGGGCTCTGATGGCCCCCAGGAGACCGTGTGCTACCCCCAGCTTCCAGGAGTCATAACTTCATAGGGAAAATATTCAGAAAATAAAGAAGGAGACGCTCCGGGAAGCGCCGGGAGCCTCTGGGAGGGAGGCCAGTCCGGACTTTTAAATCCTTGTCGACTGCTTTCTCCTGGCTGAAGATAGACTTCGTTCTGGCATATTACATCCCAAGCACCGGGTTTCTGAATGGCTTGGCCTCCTTGCAGCTGGTCCTCCCCTCATCCACAAACAGCAGTAACAAGCTGAGTTAACTTTAGCCTACCCGCTGGCTGACCCCACTGACTAGTCTTCCTGAGGAGAAAACCAGCACGGCCTGCCTCTGGAGCTGGGCTCAGCCAGGCTGAGATGACTCACATGCGGGGCAGGCCAGCCCAGAGCACATAAACACCTCGTTCCACACTGTTCACCTCCGCAGCCTCAGAGGAGGTCCTAGGACGGAGGAGGGTTTGGTCCCCTGGCCCAAGAGCTCTGCCTGGCCAGCCTGCAGGCTCAAAGGCGGTTTAGCCCCTTAGAGGGGGCATACTGGAGTCGGTGGGGAAGCCTTCTCTACCTCTCCCCCTCAGATCTGCTGGCTGTGAGGATGGGGCAAGGAGGAGGCCATAAGCACACACTCACTAACACACAACTCACAAGCATACATTACAGCTGTGTACACACATGTACTGACACACTTATGCCTATAGACAGGGATATTTCACAAGCACACATTCACACTGGCCCATACACAAATACATGGACGCTTATGCCTGCACATGAGCATGCATGGGCACGTTCGTGCCGACACACTCACACCAACACACCCACAGGCACATCTGGCGATGCACACTCACGATCCTGCTACCCTGGACCTCTGCCCTGGGGGAAGTCTAGTTCTTAGCCTTTCTCAGGGAAATAATCTTCCCCTTTCAAAGAACCTGTGAACAAAGATAACTGTCAGTGTTTTTCTCACAATGGTGTAAATTTGGGGAAAGATCTAAGTCTCTAACAATGGTGATTGAGGTATTTTAGATGTTAGTGAGGATGTTATTTGAAGCTGGAACTGGAGGCACAGACATATATAACCTCAGCCACTTAGGAGGCTGAGAATTTTGATTGAAGAAAAAAAAAATCAAAAGACTAAGGGAATAGCTCAGTGTTGTCACTTGGCTAGCATAGCATGCATGAGGACCAGTGTCAGAGTAAAACACCACAGCACTTAGTAGCAACAGGAAACTGACGTGCCATGACGGTTTCTAATACCTAGCATGCTAGTTTAAAAAACAAAATATTCCTATGTTATAATTGCTAGAACCAAATTTACACTTATGAGAAATGTCTATGCTGGGCATGGTTCGTGCACACCTTTAATCCCAGTGCTCAGGAGGCAGAGGCGGGTGGATCTCTGAGATCCAGGCCAGCCTGGTCTACAGAGTGAATTCCAGGATAGCCAGGGCTACACAGAGAAACCCTGTCTGAAAAAAACAAACAAACAAACAAACAAAAAAAAAAAAACAAAAATGCTAACTACGGCTACCTATATAAATAATTACGGCAATTCTCATTCTCTCTATTTCACCCTCCTTCCCTCCTCTCCACTCCCTCCATCTTCCCTCCTTGAGACAGATCCTCCCTCCCTCCATCCCTCCCTTCCTCCTTGAGATCTCTCTCTTTCTCCCTCTTTCCCTCCCTCTCTTTCTTCATCTGTCTTTTCCCACCCAAGATAGATTTCACTGTGTAGCTTGGGTTGGCTTGGAATTTGTGATCTACTTGTCTCAATCTCCCTAGTGCTCAGGTTACCGGCACTCACTATTATATCCAGCAATTCCTTTCCTTTGAATATTTCCTATAAAATGTCCACAGTCTAGAAAGTGAAAGTAATCTCTTTATAATTAAAAAAAATGCATCTCTTAGGAAAATAAGTGAAGCCCAAGTGAAGGCCAAGTGTCTGCAGGAACATTTCAAATGTGCCATCTTGTTTTCTTCTTCTGATGTCCATCCTCTTTGCCTTTCGGGATGGGGATTGAGCATTTTAGCCTGGATCCTCCCTCTAGATTAGTTTCTTTAGGTGTACAGATTTTAGTAGGTCTATCCTATATTACATGTCTATATGAGTGAGTATATACCGTGTGTGTCTTTCTGCTTCTGGGGTAGCTCACTCAGGATGATCCTTTCCAGTTCCTACTATTTACCTGCAAATTTCATGATTTCCTTGTTTTTCATTGCTGAGTAATATTCCATTGTGTAGATGTACCACAATTTCTGTATCCATTCTTCAGTTGAGGGGAATCTGGGTTGTTTCCAGCTTCTGGCTATTACAAATAAAGCTGCTACAAACATGATTGAGCAAATGTCCTTATTGTGTACTTGAGCCTCTTTTGGATATATGCCTAGGAGTGGTATAGCTGGATCTTGAGGAAGCACTATTCCTAGTTGTCTGAGAAAGCGCCAGATTGATTTCCAGAGTGGTTGTACAAGTTTACATTCCTACCAGCAGTGGAGAAGGGTTCCCCTTTCTCCACAACCTCTCCAGCATGTGTTGTCACTTGAGTTTTTTATCTTAGCCATTCTCACGGGTGTAAGGTAGTCTGCAGGGCAGAGCCTTTCAGAGCCTCCCACAGAGGGCCTCTGAAAGGCTCTGCCCTCCAGACTATCAAAGCAGATGTTGAGACTTATGGCCAAACTTTGGGCAGAATGCAGGGAATCTTAGGAAAGAAATGGGAAATAGTAAGATCTGGAGAGGACAGGAGGTCCACAAGGAGAGCAACAGAACCAAAAAATTTGAACACAGGGGTCTTTCCTGAGACTCATACTCCATCCAAGTACCATGCATGGAAATAACCTAGAACCCCTGCACAGATGTAGCCCATGGCAGTTCAGTGTCCAAGTGGGTTCCATAGTAAAGGGAACAGGGACTGTCTCTGACATGAACTGATTGGCCTGTTCTTTGATCACCTCCCCCTGAAGGGGGAGCAGCCTTACCAGGCCACAGAGGAAGATAATGCAGCCACTCCTAATGAGACCTAACAGACTAGGATCAGAAGGAAGAAAAAGAAACCCTCCCTTACCAGTGGACTTGGGGAGGGGCATGCA